AACAGAGAACACCAAGATAGATCGCATACATGTATGAAATTGTCAAAGGAACAAACAGAGAACATTGCTAATTGTGAAACAGCACTGCTTGGGTGAAAGTGCCTTTCAGGCTACATAGTTTTCAAAGACACAGACATAAATCTCTCATATGCACATCTGCGACATGTCTAACCACATGATGCAAAGTCTCACACACCAAGTGTGGTGGTGTGGATGTGATGCCTAGCACTGTCCCAGGCATTTGAATACTCCGTCTCCAGTTGGTAGCACTGTTTGTGACGGCAAAGGGGGTATGGCCGAGCTGTAGGAAGCGTGTCCCTGGGGAAAGGCTTTGAAGTTTCAAATGCCAGGTTCCATGTCCAGTTCATCCTCTCTGCTTCCTGTCTGTGGTTGAAGATGTGAGACCTCAGCTCCCAGCTTCCATTTCTGCTGTCTAGTTCCAAGTGGGGCTCCTGCGGATCCCTCACCACCCATAAATGAAAGCTAAGTAAATGGCTGCCTTACTTTTATGCAGCAATAAAAAAAGAACTAGCATACCAAGCCAGGCTCTCTTCTCTCTCAGTCATCTCAGTCCAGACAGCAGCAAGTACAACCCCTTTAGCCCATGCCTGCTAGCTCCATGGCTTTCCAGTGAGAAACCGATGTGAGTTCTGCCGGATTCCCAGCTCTCCTCACGTGTGGTGGCCAGCATTCCCCAGGGCTTCAGCTGCATGTCTGTCCCCATCCTCCAGACATGTAACAGCCTTGAGTGCTGGGACAACCAGTGTCACTACATCTGGCTTCTAGTTCTCTAATCAATACAGTGTTGACCTATCTACAATGTCACCAGGTTATCAGTACAAATCCTACCGCGCAAAGAAGGGTTCATGAAGGAGAATGCAGCAGAGAGGCCAAAGGCAACAACAGCATACTTAGAAAGCGTTTTTAAGCTCTCAGGTCTGCGGATAAAGCGTGGAGCTCTCCGCTGGATAGCATCGCAGGACAAAGCGTTCTCTTGGAGCAGCTCTGAGCCGCTGAGACAGGTGGGGAAGGGCAGCACAGGAAGCCTGTGCTGTTCAGTCCTAAAGGTTTACGTCATTTAAAGTCAACAGGAGGACAGGTGGTGGCAAGAGCTGAATAAACCACAGGCAGAATCGAGAGAGGAGGGGCAACAGCCTGGAAACACAGAGAGCATCGTGGTTCCAGGAAGGCAAAGCAGAGAAAAGACTCAAGCTTTACTTCAAGGTCCATGCTGCTAAAGCAGAATTTCTGTTCAAGTTTGAGAAAAACAAAAAATAAGGTTTATTTTAACTTTTTCCTTTTTTTTTTTTTAAACAAGAAAGAATTATTCTAAGTCCCTTACTGCAAACATCTTCTATGGCCAACCACTTACTTGCAGTTCCAACATTTGATTGTGCTGCACAGCTGTAAGCAAGGCTGAAAGGAAGGGGGGACTTCTGCAACTGTCAGGACTCCTTAAATTAGCGGACACGCAACGGTTACAGACTTTGGTAAACAAGACCCTGGCAAGCCACACACTCACCAATTCCAATGGAGGCAGCACATCTGGTCTTGTCTTTGATTTCCGTGCGGAGGGCAGTTGCAAATTCATCGGGAGTAAGTTTAGTTTCTGCAAGGATGTCAGTGACGTCTACCAGCGCTTCATCGCAACTGACAGCTTCAATGTTGTGTGTGTAGCTACCAACAAAGCAAAGGCGGTGCGTGAGTCACACCTAAGGCCTGCTCAGAGACACCTAAACGTTACAAAGCAGAGAAGGCGTTTGTTTGTTTGTTTGTTTGTTTGTTTTTCAAAACAGAGTTTCTCTGTGTAACAGCCCTAGCGGTCCTGAACTCGCTTTGTAGACTGCCTGCTTCTGCCTCCCGAATGCTGCTGAGTGCCACCACACCAAGCAAGAGAAGGCATTTTTAAATACTGAAAACAAAAACGAACCAAACTTCTAATTTTAAATAATCCATCCAAACTGACACGATTTAGTTACCTAAGATTTGACTACAAAGTTAGCGTTGTAATTACACATCAAAACTACTACAGCACTGTACTGAGAATACCCTTGTACACACGAATAGCTAAAGTGGTAAATGGATCACAACTATCAAAATATCTAAGAAAACTTCAAACATGACAGATCTTTACGAAGAGATGTTTACATTCATCAGTTCAACAACTGTTGTTCATCTAAAATCATCAGATATCACTATGAACGACTTAATACCTGTCAAATCCCTGAGATTCCACAGGACAAAGGGGCCAGTCAGCTGACTGGCTAGGAGAAACACACCCATCTCTTCAAGCAGAAATGCTGTTCCTTTTACCTTAGGTGATCTCCCTATATAAAGGACTAATTGTTTTGACAGGCTGAAAAGAGCATGACCTGAGACCATGCAACAGACACCAACCAGAAAGACAGCCAAAGAGGCCTCCCAACCGAGTCCTAGCTCAGTCTACCTGTTAATACACACTTTTTGATAGCTTATAAACCATGTCAAAACCTACTCTTTCAATGAACAAATGCTACTTAGGCTACAAATGTAAGAACAAAGGCTCCTTGCTTTTTTCTTTTTAAATAATGAGAATGACTCCTCCCCCCCGAAACAGACACATGCCACTAAAGTCTCCACAGCCTAAAGGTATAAGAGGCTCTTGGGCTCTCCACCAATTTTTTAGGCCACAGGCATGATCAACTCCAGGCCGTGGCTCTGAGAGCACAGCTGCACCTCTGTTAACCTATCCTTGCTGGCCTTCGTATGCTATCAATGTCCTCAGCTTTTGACTGGCATTTAACACACTTGTGACACAGTACTACCCAAACTGCTGGACTTTTGCTAAGAATATCTGTGACTAATGACAGAGCGAACATCTTTCCATTATGCTTTCTCCATGATCACGGTAGCGTCTACAAGTACCCACAGGGACTGGACACTTTTTCTGTTGGTGAGACCAGCAGAATCAAGCAGCTACCTGCACTTCCTGGTTTACGGTGCTCAGAATAAAGCTTAAGAAGAAAAGGCAGCCTCCAGGGGTCTGGGCAGGTCCTCTGCATATATATTACAGCTTTCATTTTAGTGTTTTTTATGGGACTACTGAGTGTGTAAATGAGTGAGTCTCCAGTTCTTGTGACTGTTCTTGGACTCTTTTCCTTCTGTTGGTTTGCTTTGTCTAACTTCGATGTGAAGGTTTTATCTTATTATATTTTATTTTGCTATCTTTCCTGTTATCTCTAGAAGCCTGTTTTTTTTTTTTCTTACGAGAGACAGAAAGGGGTGGATCTGGATAGGAGGGGAGGTGGGCAGGAACTGGTCTTGTAGAGGGAGGAAAAATGAAATCAGGATATACTGTATGAGAAAAGAATATTTTTAATATAAGGGAGAGGCAGAAATGAAGAGAGAGGTAAGCACACATCCTAGAATTCCAACACAGCTCTAGAACCTACAAACCTTGGACCAACAGACTTAAATTTTTACTGGAACAGGTCCGGGCCAGCAGTTTACATCACTTGAAACCTTTTCAGTTTACAGAGGGGTAAGAAGATGTGAGGTGGACCTCGCCCAGGCTTTTACACAGAAACTACATGACTCTGGTTCAGAGCATGTTTAAGTTACTAAACCTTAATTCTATTTGATACTGCTTTAGTATTGAAAAAGAAATCATTTATCTCCTTTCCTCAAGCTAACCAATCAACCATTCTAAAACAAGTACAAGAGCCTTGCTTTTATAAAAGCTAATTTTTGGCATGGGAATAGTTTAAAATGTCTCTGTGTTACTGGGTCACCAGTTTTAGCCTTATTCAGTTACAATACAGGCAGAGGTCTCTCCACTATCCTGGCTGGTACTGAAATTCTGGGAAACCGTACATACTACTGCACCCTACTCTTTGAATTCTAATTTCAAACAAATTATAATTCCAATGCACTAAAAGAGGAGAAAACTGAAACAAAAAACAGCAGTGGGAACAACAAAACGCCCGAATCCTTCGTCTATCTGGTTTCATGGAGAGAAAGGAGAGAAAAACAGGTCCACATATCCTGGCACATTTCACATCACAATCAGTAGCACCTGAACAGTGATATGGTGCAAATTTTCTCTTGAGACTAAACTACCAATTACTGAAGCTACAAAGGAGGGAGAGAGGGAAGGAAGGAGGAAGGGAGGGAGGGAGAGAGGAAGAAGGGAAGGAAGGAAGGAAGGAAGGAAGGAAGGAAGGAAGGAAGGAAGGAAGGGAAGGAAGGAAGAAAGAAAGAGAAGGAAGAAAGAGAAGAAAGCTACCAAATGGGCAGGCTGAGAAAAAGGATCACAGATAAAAACCTAGTGACTCTCACAATGCTAACAGGAACTAGACTCTAACAGTAAATCAAAGAAGCAGAGCAGAAGAAATGAAGAGGAGTACATTGAACACAATACCTTGCCAATGTTTCATACATTGCTTGGGCAACTTCCCTGTATGCATGAAAATCGTATGGAACAGCTTGCAGGTTAGGACACAACTGTTTTGCATGCCCGAAATACATTCCATTCTTAATGCCAACTTGTCTAGAAAAAAAAAAAAAAAAGAAAGGAAGAAAACACAGTGGAGATTAAATCTGATCTTTAGCTGACAACCAAGTACTGGCTGTGCTGTCATCTCCCCACGTCACTAATATACAATTTCCATGTCACTGCCCCTCTCGTTAGGGGTTAACAAGAGGGATTAGGAAAATGTACAAGTCCCCCAAACAGAAAATAATACAACTGTCTCACTAGAGTCAATGACCTCTCTTTTGTCTATAGCTAAACACTTCTAAAACTTGACCTCTGGCCCCTCTGCAGAGATGTCAGCATACTATATGCTGGTGATATCACAACCACCACAGAGCAGGAATGTGCTGTCAAAACAGTTTTCTTCTCCCAATACATGGCTCATCCCCCAAAGACGAAGCGTCTGAACAAAAGAACCACCGAAACAGCTCGGCGACAGACAGACACGGCGCACTCATCCCACTGCCACCCCACCCGCACTGAGCAGTCCCAGCGCTCCTCAAGTGGCTCCGCAGTGGCTGAGATGCCAGCAGCACTGTATGGCAGGACATCCCTCTGCGCAGGGGCCAGGGTTCCACAACTTTGAAGGACTTAATTGAGAATGGTAAAATTTAAATCTACCGTGTCTCAAATTTGGAGCATTCAGCATAAAACTACAATTATGGAGTTATACATAATTAGTAAAATTCCATTTTATCACTCTGTAAAGAATCCAGAAAAAAATAATACAGAAAAATGTAAGCAAGACAAGCAGTGTTTCACCAGATTATTTAGAATTGCGTAGAATGATCACGGTTGTCCCACACACCCATTCACTAACATTCAGCAAGTAATGGCGTAGTTGGAGGTGTGCCTGCTTAAGGAACAGCTACAATTGTTTCTTGGCCTCTTGCCTTCTTTTTATTCCTTCTATTATAATTCAGCAACTTTTGGGACTCTCCTAACACTTAGATCAACACAGAGAACTACAAATAATTAAGAAACCTCTCAAAGTTATTCAGAAGCAAATCCAAAATGACACACATTTTTCATCAAAATAAAAGTAATAAACTACTTCACTATCAAGTCGCAAGTGGACAGATGATGTACTAAGATGCAAACAAAGACAGGGAAGGAAGTAGTGACTGACAGTAAGCGCAGCTGCAGCAGCTCCATACAGTTCTGTTTTTAGGTGCTCTGGGGGGGGGGGGGGGCTGGCCGAGCCTCACAAACAAGCAGAGCCCAGGCTGTGAGCATGTTCCTGCTCTACCTAGCTTGATCTGAGTCACAGTCGGCAGGCCTCAATAACCCCATATCCTCAGAGACTATGGAAGTGTAAATACAATAGTTCAGAGAGGTACAGAAAAAGATCAAAAACAAGTGTTTTTCTAAAGTCTGGCTTTGAAAAAAGATCAACTTTTGGTAACAAAAGCATAAATATGTAAGTTCAACATTCAAGTTAAAAGCAGTTACTCAGTCTTAAAGGAACATGTTATACTAATCCTACAATGTTCTGTTTCCTTTCCTTTTTAAAAAAGGAAAAAACTCAAAGATACTTAGGAAAAAAATGCTACTTCTACTCCAGTAGTCATCAACTTTCCATAGAGGAAACTTTGCCTGGGTAGTCAGGATGGACTTCTGGTCTACCTCCTTCCAGCTCTCAAGTGCTGATGAAGTACAGGCGCTGTCACCATGCCCAGGTTTTGCTGTTTTAGGAACTGACCCAGGGCCTTGTGCATGCCAGACAAGCATTCTTCCAACTGAGCCACATCTAACACCTTAGGGGAAACACACACTTCCCTTGAGTAGATGTTCAGGAAACTAGGATTTGTTTCACAAAAATCAACTAATAAGGACAGACACAAAAGAAGCCTGCCAGCGTGATGCAAGCTGAACTGCAGCACTTAGGTAACGGCAGAAGCAAGGTTTTGAGTGTGAGGGTCGGCTGGGACACAGCGAAGCTCCACGGCAGCTGCGGTGCAGTGACACCATGTCACCAGACAAATGGCAGTCAAAGCCCGCAGCCTTAGCAGAATGGCTCATGTGCCCCTCCCCAACAAAATCCACACAGTAGGTTAGCAAAGCTGTGCTTTTATGCCTGTGGAGGGGACTAGGATTCATGTCACATTTTAAAGCACTATCACACATTCTTACTGCAACAGGCTGGGCTAGGACAAATACTCTTCGGGGTTGGATCAGGCAACAGAAAAAGGAAAAAGCATCAAATCACTTCTGATGTTCATTCCATATATTACACATCACAAATCTGTATCATTAAATAACTGCAAAATGTTCTCATAAAAGGCATGTGAACACAGAGGTTAAGACTGTCTATTTTCTGACTTGTGAGGGGTGTCTCTCTTTAAGGTATAGCCTTAAATTTGCTGTGCAGCAGAAAAAGGCACTGAGCTCCTATTCCTGCCTCTGCCTCCAAGTGTTGCCATCACCATCTTGCAACATGTCTGCTGCTTAAGTTGAAATAAAACCTAGCAGTTTCTTCGGCATTATCCTCGTTTTCATCACGTATAACTTCTTTACAGAACACACAAGAATCTCCGATTCTGCATTCCACATCTAGTCACACTTAATTCTTTATAACTTCACTATTAGTCTATGTCAAACTCATTACTGCATAGGACTAGTTTGATCACTACTACGATCTATTACTTACCCAACTTTTAACTTAAAAAAAGTTTTTCTTATTTATAAGAAGACTGAATAAGTAAGGCCCAGCTAACACAATTCAAATATTTATTTATATGCCTGAAAGACAATACACATGATAATGTCTAATTTCTTTTTGTTTTCACTGCAGGATCTATCATGAGGACCTAGTATGTTATTTAAAATTATTAACATGGCAATATAAATGAAGGACTAGGCTAAAAATATTTCTTTTCATAGTATGCATTTAATACGTTGAAATCATAGACGACTTGAAAGACGTAATTTTTCTATAATTCTATAAAAATATTAACTACCAAGAACTAGAACTTAGATTCTACATACCTGGCTTCGTAATTACAAGATGCAATTTCAGCTTTTGACAAAACAGAATCAATTCCATTTGTTTGTGTGGAATCTTGATTCTCCCATAGTGATGAATCTGGTGTATCTGCTTTAAAATAAAATTTAATTATTATGTTAAAAATTAATTATTCTTAACTTTTATTAAAGAAATCTGTTTTCTATTATTTTCAGATGCAAATATTTAAGATCCAAATACCTATCTGAATTGGAATCATTTCTATATTAAGTATAACAAAACTAATAAAATATTTTCTTTCATTCTTCAAAAACAGTCAGATAAAAACATACCATAATAAATTCAAAGTACCCTGTTTTAATAAATGTAAAATATCCTGTTATCTATCCTGTAACATATGGTCTCTCATGGCAGAGGTGGTAACAGTGATCAGGGAGATGAACTCCCTGCCCTGCCCTTGCCTTACGAAAACTATGCAGCTCACTGTAATAAAAAAAAGTTAACAGAAAACATAAGTTTCTTGGAATTTTTTTTTTTTTTTTTTTTTTTTGCTGTTGTTATTTCCTAAAAGAACTCTCTTTAAAACTTAAGACTAACATGTTGAAGAAAACCCAAATTTCTGCCAGCCACCTGACTAAACAATAACTTAGTAACCCTTTTCCGAAACTTTGGTTCTTGAGCCTCATATTCAGAAGTTAAGCAGTATCACCAGATGGTCTCAGCCAGCCAGTGCCTACATACGTGCATGCACGTACATGTGATACGTATACTGTGTAACTATCTTCACATACTATAAAGACCCTTCACCCTAGCCTTCAGGGGTTTTCTTTTATACATCCTAGATAAACATCCTAACAACATGATTTTCTACTTTTCATTTAACAAGTACACTTTCCATTAAAAACCTGGAGCTCAATTACAATCAGTAGTAACTACTTTACAGAACATAATTCTAGTCTCAATAGAGCAAGAGCTCGCCAACATTTCTAATATCCAAACCAAATTTGCAATCTCACCCAAGCATATAAAAGTATGTGACCTAGAGAGCCTACTGGCTACATGACACCTGAGATTCACTAATTGATTAGTCAAGTCTGGATCATACTCTCAGGTTAAAGATAGAGTGTGTTTTTACAGAACTTTTTATATATATATAAATACTACATTCTTAAACACAATCTCAGCCCTGTCTCTACTCTAGAAACAACACCATTAGTAAAGCATGACTTTAGTAAACCTATGACTTCAGCTAATTCCAAACACACCTATTCTGAGTGCACTAGCACACAGCTAACACAACACTCAGCACCTCTTCCGTTTACTGAGAGCCTCAATGTTCCATGAAAAACAACCAAGTTGCTGCACCACCAGGAGAAACAACCAAGTGTCTGGTTTCATACACACAGTAAATCATCTTCATCTGACCAACAACCACCAAAACCTTTACCTAATATACAACCTGTGCAAGTGTTTCCAGACCCTATCATACACATGTGCACCACAAATACAAGCCAAACTCAGAAGGGGGATCCTGGTGTGAGTTAAATGCTACTTACATTAAAAATAAAAACAAGAGTATGCAATGTGAGCTATGATCTCCAGTACAATGCAAACATATGCCACACTCTTACAAATTCAAGATAGAAATGAGCAGATTATTCAGTGCTTCTGCACAGCCCACGACCTAATCTGTAAGAACCTAAGGGTTGTCAGAAACAGAACAGAGGTGCTACTAAACATACAAAAGACCACAGCCACAATGTACTCTCTTCCAAAGTTATAACCACGAGTCATGCCTTAAAAGGGGGACTATTAAGTAAGAGTCTCATGTGGAAGTTACAGAAGACTCATGTGTGACGTGAGAACAGGGTGTGTGTGGTCCGTGCGCCCCCAACGCCCTGGCTTGAGAGGCAGCGCCGTGCTGTTCCTCTTCACTGGGCTGGCTGACCTGTTCCACAGTGCAGCAGAGTGCGTGCGTCTCTCCACCAGCAGAGTGAGTTGCTTCCTGTGAGATTCAGGGAAATGCAGGGACACATGTCCTCACTGGAGGGCAAAGTAGAGAACTGCTGATCAAAACTTGACAAACTAGACGGGCACATGGAGAATGTGAAGGAACGGTTGGAGGAATCAGAGGCCAGGACACAAGTCTGTGAAAAAGAAATCGCTGAGAATAAATCTATGACTAATACGATTTTTTAAACTGTTGCTCTTTAGAATGAAAACTGAAGCTGTTGAAGGGACAGAAAACATCTGCATCCTGGGAATCCAGGAAGGGGTAAAAGGCCCCAACCACGAAGTGCAGAGGTTAAATGCTTCAGAATGAAATCATCAATGAGATGATTCTGGAAACAGCTCTCAAAGGAAGTCACGGATGAATGAGATGCCCTGCTTATACTGACCTAATTCTAAATACAAGGAACAAGAAATGAGTTTCCAAAAAGACTGAAGATGCTTTTTTGTCCGAATACTCTGGCTCATCTAACCACACAGGTGAAAATATTAGAGCTGATTTTTATAAGCTAGTGTACAGAAGTCAAAGATCCTGCCTTTTAAACCGATCCTTAGTACTCGGACTTTTGGTGCTATGTGTAGCAATGACCAGAGAAAGAGAGGTCAGAAAAAGTGAAACCAAGGCAGTGGAAAACAAGTTCTGGCACAGGCTTGGCGGTAAACTTCATAAAAGACAATCTAGTCCTTTTACATACAGCAAATATTTTTATGAGCTCCAAATGGGTTAAAGGGTTTACGATACAAAAATGAATGTCATCAAGTTGAAACAAGAACATAATATTGAGGTATTATAATCGCTTTTTCTAAGGAGAGGAAAACCTGAGGTCAAATTTTAATTGCAAGCGGAACTTAAACATTTTCTCTAATATTTGGCTTCTGGTGCACCACCCACAGAAGAAGAAATTAATTACAAAAGGCTATTAAAATATTAGGAAAATCCAGTGGCTACAAAGATGAAGATAATTAAGTAGCCAAAGAAAACATTCTGCTACAAAACCACGTATGGCCAGACAGTGATGGAAAAAGCAAGACAGAAGACCGGCTTCCCTGCTCCTTTCAAAGAACAAGTACCTGCCCAAGTCAAAAGCTAAATGCAGACTGTTCAGACAAGCAGCCAACTTAGACTGTAACCCACCAGACTGAGAACCAAGAAACTTAGAGATGCCCCAGACACACACAGCTGCTGTTTTTCTGGCCTTGACAGCTGTTCAGTAGCTCTTTACTTTGTTCAACATGTGACAAGTACTGTGGACTTCCTCCAGCTACATACTTCTTGCTTTCTAGAACTTCAGTTTTTATCTTTTTAATAATACCATGTAGAAAATACAGAAAGACAAAACAAGCGTCTACAAAACTACACTTAAGAAATTAACCCTAGACCATGAAGCAAAGCCTCAACAAGTTCAGGGACCTAACAACCTGACACAGAGCACCAGAATCTCAAAAGTCGCTGAAAACATTTAACAATAATGCCTTAGAAACCTTGAGAAATGGACACACGTATGAAGTATAAACGTGTTTCTACAACCACCCTTTCTAACGTGCACCGCGTAAGCAGATGACTGCAGTCGACAGAAAGACTAATTCCAGAAGAGAAGTTCAGATGTCCATCCTCTCCAACATTCCTCATTAGGGTCTTTTCTGAAGTAGCCCAATATTTTACATCTGACAAAACAGGAAACCAAAGTGATAGTAAAACCAAACTGGAATCTTTCGACTGTGCTATGTGTCTTTTTTCTGGTTAATGTTTTTCTAAAAGAATGATTTTTACATAATATTTGTGGTTTTACAAGATATTTCACAAGGAGAACAATCCATGTTGAAGACCTTCTAGGTCAATACTTCTTCAGAACTCTAAGGCAAGGCAATAAAAGCACATGAAGATCTTATTTTTTGTGTGAATAAAATAGTTTTCAAAGACAGCTATAAAAATGTTTCTTCTAAGAAACAAGTCAACTAAAAAGGGGCATTTAGATTTTGATTCCAATAGAGGTTTGTCACTTTGCTTGTCCAGGGTTTCCTTGTTCTCTACGCTTCCCTTGAAAGCACCATTTTCCTGCTGTCATCTCCCAAACTGGACTAGATACTACTCTTTCTAACTTTGAATTATTAAGACTACTGAAGAACACAAACTTCAGTGTCTTTACTGTGACATACACAAATGGCTAATAAACTCATATAGATCAATGCTTCTATAAAATGATCATGTATATCATTCCCAATCAATTTCTAAAAAGTAGATTAATCACTGTTCTAAAAATTACACCACACTGAGTTCCAGGAAAACACCATCATCCAATTCCAGAAAGCATTAAGTATAAATCAGTCATCTGTTTAGATTCAGATGTTGTTTTGATTCAATTCGTCACTAGCATCCTTAAAACCTTCAACTCGAAAGAGCTAATTATTCTAATTCTGCTTTTACTTCTAAAGCATCAACATCACCAGGAATATCCAGAGGTCATCCATGAGAGCACTATGGCTTCAAGGAACTCATCTGTACCTGCTTTTCCTTTCAGGATTTTATTCTGGTAAAACTGCCACTCCAGCTGGGGGTTAGTACCAGGACGTAAGGGTGCCCTTCCTGTACCTCTGTTACTTGTAACAGCCACTGGTTTCCCTGCAAGAAAAAGATTAAATTGTTTCTCTAAGTACAGAAGGATGTTAAGAACATTTAATGGGAAATGTTCCTGGGATTTTAGTTATATAACATTTGTTCTGTAATCACATGGTGTATAAGGTAACACACCCATCACCATAGAATATCACGGAAGGTTTTCGGTTAAACTTCCAAAGGGACAATTTCAGGGACTTTTTTGTTTGTTTGATTGTCTTGAAAGTTAGGGTCTCCAGATTCTGGAAATCTCTACATAGAGCAGGCTGGCCACAAGCGCACAGACATCCCCCTGCCTATGGCATGCTGGGATTAAGCGTGGCTCCAGTCACGTTTCTGATAAACCACCTTCATATAAAAGCAGCAGAGTCATTTTCCATGGCTTTTGATTTCTTACAATGAAAAACAGGCAACTCAAGAGACCAGAAAAATTAGAAACAGACCTTTAAACAAACACACAAACAAACAAAACAAACAAACAAAAAGACCTTTTCTACTTCTGGTATAAAGAGGTTCAACATCTAAACTTCCTGTTTTAATTTTATAGCAAGAGAAATAAATTAGAGATTCATGCATAGTAATCAAAATCTGATTTAACATATACACAAACATGAATTTTCAGAATCCCAGTTTTTGCTTTGGTTAAGAGCATTACTCTAATGTATCACTTCTTCTTATGTATTAAGTTACAAGGCAGCTATAACATTGTGAAGCTGATTTGCAAATTGTGTAATACAGGCTTAGAGGGCAGGAGGCTCAGAACAAAAAAGCAGATACACACCGAATCCCCTTACCCCTCCACACAAACTAAACAAAACCACAAAATAATAGATGTAAGTTATCCATAGGCTAAAATCAATTCTTTCACATTCTAAACACCTCTTTCATGGCTGAGTAGCAACTACCCAGGACAAAAATAAAGCCCTGTTGGGAATCTAGAATTTTCTAAGATTTTTGGTGCCCTAACTAGTTTATTTACATAAGAGAAAAACTGACTTTCAAAAGAAAATGCTAATGTAGCATCTTTCTTATCCAGAAAGAATTAAAAAAAATCCTGAATAAATGTTTCTGATAGTATTAAGTAGTACATAAATAAACCGGAAATTTCATTAGAACAGACTGCCTAGGTGACTCAACTCAATGATACAACTATCACAACCCCAAAGTAGGGGTGTCTATCCACATTAGGGGAGCAGAAAGTCTCAAGATACAGGAAACCACAAAATTCCCCTGAACAATAAAAAGATCTGGAAAATATCCAGGAGCGCTCATCTGTGTGAGACAATAGATTCCTTAACTGAATACACTCTCTGTAGATTTGACCTGATCACCAAGCAGTAGTTTTCTAATTTCCCCACACCTCTGTGTAATCAAGGCCAGACAATCTGAAGAAAGGAACTTCTCAAAGAACACTTCATTATCAATTAGGATGACATACAATCATATCTAACAATGTATCGACTTTCTTAAAATAAGAATACAGACCTTTGAGATCTGGTCTATTTCGTATACCCACTGACACAAAGAAGCAGTCCATATCAACATGCATTACACAGCTCTGATGTCTGGGGGAGCTCAATACTGACATATTGCCTAGAAGGAAAAAGAGAACATTCAAACCCAGACTAAGTCTTCTCATTAAAAGCAGTTCTAGTTAATTTTAAAGAGCATACTTAAGAATGGCATCTTAACTTAACATGGGGTATATTATGACTATGTACCACCGCAAACAAGAAATTTCAGTTTCTTCAGTTTTCTGATAGATTTTAAAATCAGTTCTAACAATACCATAGAACCATGGAGAACTACTACCCTGCCCCACCTTTTACAGTTAGGGATTTAAGTCCTACAGCTAGTGCATGCCCAAGCTGGGATTTAACTCTAGTCCATCTGATTTCCAGCTAAACTATTCTGCTGCCGTTCTAATTGGACATGCTCCAAAAAAAAAACTCCACAAACAAAAATCTACATACAAATGGAATTTTTCTTCCACCGCTTCCACTGATGTTACCAGCTTGCAGCATGTTTATTGTATTTATAGGAGCAAAGTAATAATTATCTTATAAAGAAATGAATGACCTTGAATAAGCAGGGATGCATTTATAAGGGTTATTTTTAATCCAACTATTATGACAATGCAACTTTGTAATAACGTTCCTATTAATCTTCCTGGTCCTCCAAAACACACTAACTAGCAAAGGTCCCACACCTAAGAACCTAAAGTCTAAGAACCTTTTAAGATTGTAAATAGTTCTGATCTTAGTGAATATTCTTGTATACCAGCTTTATGGTAAAAACAAACAAACAAAACAAAACACCTTACTCCCTAACTTCATGTATTAACTGTGAGGCATTTGCCTAGTCTCACCATGTGCAAGGCACTGAATCTTTCTTCATATTATCTTTAAGCAGACAACCCGTAAGTGGGATGACACTGATTCCCACCACTCTTCCTGCAGAGAGGAAACAGGCAAGAAAGGCAAATAGCCATGTGTGTACCGCTGTAGAACGTGGCAGAGTGAGGACTTGGATTCAGGCTACGCTCTCTAATTCAAACCCTTGCCATTCTCTCTGCTACTTTCAGAAAGATTTAACAAGCGAATTTTAATAATCACAATCTTTCTTTGGCAGTGTCAGGCGTCGGACTTAGGGCCTTGCACTCGTTAGGCAGGCAACAATCACAAGTCTACTGTACAGAAGTAGTGTGAAACACAAAGGAAACAAATCGATGTAGTATTAAATAGTTAAGGGGTACAGAATGTATAAATCAAATACCTACTACCAAATGCTTTCTTATACCATAAAAATTTATGAATTTATTCCCATTCATGGACCTAATTCATAACAGTATTTTAAAGTTTTCAAAATTAAGTGACCTTCAGGCTAAAAGGACCAAAACATAACATAATCTAACATCTATGGTATTATTCTGAACTATTTCAGAAACACTGAAAAAGAATTTTGAGTAAAAGCATGTTGCAACAAATCAGACGATTAAATATAACAGCAATAAAAACTCACATGGAAAGGCCCCACGACTTTCTAAAACACCATCATCGTCTTTCTCTTTATGCCTCCTTTTTCACAGTGATAAAGATGACTATCACATAATCTTAGAACTTTCTTTTGCCAGATGCTCACAAAAGAAAAAAGCCAACTCCTTTGCCCAAAACAACTGAAACTTCAAACTGGGTCTAAATCGGAATCTGCTTTAAGTAACAACTGTCACAAAGTAGCTTCCTGTTGGACTTGGATGACAAGTAGTACGCACACACACAGATTAAACAATCTACGTAGATGTGAAAACAATCTCACTAATGTTACCACTGTAGTACAAGTTATGTCAGTGTTTAATTTTTAAGTGTACTATGAAGCAAGCTTCTAGAAATTCAGTTACCCTTACCAATCAATTTCATTCTCACAGGAGAGTAGGCATGGAATATAAAATGTTATACATTCAAACCTTCAACAATTTATGAAGTCTACATGAGGAAGGAATGCTGGGAATCCCGGTTCTGACAGCGTGGAAATGATCCAGCATTTTCGGTTAGCCACAGTTAAATCTAATATAAAAATAGTAATGACGTTTTCAGTTATACTTACTGTAACTTACATAACCTGGCATTCCTAGAGGCTTTTTATATTAGCAAGTTTATAATGATTAAAATACCAATGGAAACATCAGAACAAGACGTCAAATATAACCGTTTTGAAGAAAACAATTTTAGTATCTACCTGTGTCAGTTACAACAAGGGAAGACCTGCCTGTTTTCATTTTTTTTAACTTTTCCCTTCCTGGAAAGACACCACTACTTTGTCTCTGTAGGGTATTGACAAACTCAGTCAATTCACACTTCCATGTTGAGATGTGATGCAGTCTTGAGCGAGAATAGAAATCTGAAATGAAGTTGCAGTCTGATGGTCTGGGCGGCACTGCCGGCGCTAGCTTAAGGGTCGGAACAGAAGTGCTTTTTGTGCTTGAAGGCCCCTGAACAGTGGCGTGGTGAGCACCATTGACTTTAGTGTTACTGTGCAAAGCCGGGGAGAAAGAACTAGTTCTGTGTGGACTCCGCAAAGCATCTGCACTTCTGAAGCTGTGTTGCAACTGCTGCCCTGTGCAGTCTCTGAAGTCCGTGCTGCTCTTCTCCTCCTGGGCGGAGTCCAAGGAAAGTCTGCTCGCAACGCTGCTGCCTGCAGGCACCAAGCAATCCTGTGTCTTTAAGGCACCATTAGAGCTGTGAGTATGTCCATTAAAAAGGACAGCGGTGTCTCTGGGATGCGTTACTCCATTTTGTTTCCTTCCTGGAAATGTGTGTTCCAGAGCCTCAAAACTAAAATCATCTTTTGCATCTTCTTCACCCCAGCTGCTCAGTCCATTTGCTTTCACTTCATTTTCTGTCTCAATCTTCTTAATTATGTGATTTCTAAAGCAGAAGAAAAATTTAAGTTAATGTATCTGACTTTAAAGCTTAAAATACAAATTCTTTGTGACCTACTGCTTTCCTCTTAAATACTACAATGCCAAACCATAAATATTGTATTTTTGTTTGAACAAAGGATATTTCTTAACCAAAAAAACACTAACATATTTTTCATGTTTTTCAACTTTTTTTTTTTTTT